AAAAGATTGCATATATAACATGAACAAGAGTTTGACACCTCATATGTCCACCATGGATGAGTCTGCTAAGTTTGAGGACAATTATCATTTGATAGAAATATAAGTAGTCTGATACTGATATCCCTCTAAGTAACCAAGCATGAATTTCACATGGAACTGTTAAATCCCTTGGGAATGGGTAATTTTTCCCTCCTTTGAGATGAGCCTAATTCAGCTTAAATATATGCTACAGATAAGCAGATGCTTCTTATTTTTACCTGATGATGGTGATTGAAAGTTGAAAGTACTAATCTTTAATTTCCATGTCTCATGTTTACAACTTTTAGGTCAGATACACTTCACTTAAAATATGTATGATTTTAATTTTACTTGTTCTTTAAAAATGAGATCTAGGTTTTTCATACATACATATTTTTTGGAGCTATATTATGTGAGCACAAGTTATTCAGAGTACTGGTATTGTTGCTTGTCTCGTCCTGGTTCCTGCAAGATACACTCGGAGTCAACCCTAGAATGCTATAGAGCTTCGTTGTCAGAGCAAACTGGCAAGAATAAACTCCTCTTTGACTAAACGAGCAGAGCCCCAATTACATCAGCAAATTTAAGCGGTACATTTATAAAAATAACCAACTAAAAAGCAGTAAAAGAAATCAAGCATAGATGCGATAGGGTTCTAAAAGCTTGCTGGTGAGATGTCATTTCACAAGCTGCACCTTGTGAAACATCAAATGAAGTATTGAAGTTAATGGGCTGCTAGTTTCCTATAACTTCATTGAAGTGTAAAGAGCATTGAAGGAGAGGCTGCAAAGACATATGTACGACCTCGCCGTTCAATTAAAGACACTATTTACCTAAAGTAGCACATCTCCTATTTAAGATCTATTTATTCACATAACCAGTGACACATTGATGCACATTTACTTTGCTAGATAGAATCAGCTGTGGCCATAAATTCTGTTCATAAAGGGCATTCAAGATGTTAACACTGTCATACAGCTATTGCCAACTGCTGCATGGTGTAAACATACTCACAGGTATTGGCAATAGCATGGTGGATAAGCAGAGGGGGCAATCACCAGCAGGACAAGTTGATTTGGGGCTCACCAATATGACAGGAAAGTGTCTTAAGTTCGTATCACAGGATTCATGTTTTACATTTCAATAGGGAGTTTGTATACTTAGAATAGATGATGCATTCAAACATCGAAATCTTAAGTCATTATTACACTTACTAATTAAGTACTCTCTCCGTCCCATAATATAGCAACATAAGACCGTATAAGACATTTCATAATTCATAGCACAATGAATCTAGACGAGAGGTTATCTAGATTCTTGTACTATGAAATGTCCCATCCGGTTCTAGGTTATATTATGGGACAGAGGGAGTAAAAAACATGGCATTAGTCGTAAGGTTTAGTTTGTGAAATCAAAGTGTGTTTTGATTTATTAATTCATGATGAACAATTAGCATGATAGATAATTGGTTTTGATATTTGATGATAATTGGCGAAGTGGTGTTCTTTGTGTGGTACCGATCAGACCAAGTGGATAGGGCCGATGAGATCCAACTATTCACCCCTCTTTGGTTGGCTTAGTTCTTGTTGTTCGATCCTACATAGTTATATTTTTAATAGTTGTCTTTCGATAAATATATGGTAGGATAAAGTAATGCTCAAATATATTTATCTGAGACTGATTTGGGGCTCAACAATATGATAGGAAAATATCTTAAGTTCATCCTATAAGATTCATGATTTACATTTCAATGTGGGGAGTTTGTATGTAGAACATATGACGTCCTACAATATATGCATTCAAACATCAAAATCTTAAGTCATTAATACCCTAAATTATTCAAGGTACAAAAGATGACATTAATGGATTTGTGGTGAGGTATAGCTATATTTTTTATAATTTCCTATCGATAAATATATGATACGATAAATTAATGATCAAATATATTTATCGGAGATTGAGGGGTTGTTTGACATAGCTCCAGCTTTCCACCTCTCCTAGAATTGGAGCCCAATCAAATGGTTTCAACTCCACTCAAAATGGGAGTGGAGTTGGTTGGAGTTCTCTCACAAAATGAACTAGTAGACTACTAGGTGACGTCCTACAATATATGCTTCAAACATCGAAATTGTAAGTCATCAATGCACAAAATTATTGTGTACAAAAAATGACATTAGTAGATTTGTCGTGAAGTCTAGTTATATCTTTTTTAATAATTTCCTTTGATAAATAAATGATATGATAAAATAATGGTCAAGTATATTTATCGGAGATTGATTTGGGGCTCATAAATACGAAAGAAAATTGCCTGTTCATATAACAATATTCGTGTTTTACATTTCAGAGGGTAGAGTTTCGAGCAATCGGCGATGAAGTGTTCGGGCTCGTTGCAATCACAGCATTTCCTTGAGGAATATCTCCACTTCGACTTGTGAGAAGAGAGTTAATTTGTATTTATAACTAAATATGACGTCTTACAATATATGCATTTAAGTTTCTAAATCTTAAGCCATTAATGCACGAAGTTATTGAGTATGAAGAATTACATTAGTAGATTTGTCGTCACCTATTAAACCTATTAGTAAATTTATTAGGTATTTGAAAACATATAACACGTAGTATAAATTTTACTATCTAAGGGACATGTTTTAGTTATTGCGTACTCTGCGTGTGTTTTAGAGCACCTGTAATTTCCTTTTCATATTATATGATAAATATATGATACGATAAATTAATGATCAAATATATTTACTGGAGATTGAGGGGTTGTTTGACATCGCTCCAGCTTTCTACCTCTCCTAGAATTGGAGCCCAATCAAACAGTTTCAACTCCACTAGGTAGAGTTTCGTGCAATCGACGATGAAGTGTTCGAGCTCTTTGCAATCATAGCATTTCCTTGAGGTAGGGGTGGGCAGAAAAAGACTGAACCAAAAAGAACGAGACTGAGAAATTCGGTCATCAATTTGGTTCTAGGTAGTGAAAGACCCAATTTTGTTCAGTCAATTTGGTTATTTTCCTCGATTAACCAAATAAACCGAATTAACAAAAAAAAGTCTAAATGCAACCTACAATCCACTAAGTTTAATACGATTAAACTCTAATTTTCACATCCCTACTTCTTCTAGGCATGCAACCTAGTAAGAGTCTTTACTCATATGTGCTTACATTTTTTTTGTGATTTTTGTGTTGAAAATTTCCATTATTTCTTTGCGTATATGAAAATGTTGTTGAATTTCGGTCAAGGACCAAGACTGAGACCGAATTTGTTGGTCCTGACATTTTTGCGTTGAAATTCAGTCTTTACTTTACTTTTTAAAGACCTAAAGACCGAAGACCCATAACGAAATTTTCAGTCAAACCAAATGCCCACCCTTACCATGACGAATATCTCCACTTTGACTTGTGAGAAGAGAGTTTGTATTTATAACAAAATATGACGTCTTACAATATATGCATTTAAGTTTCTAAATCTTAAGTTATTAATGCATGAAGTTATTGAGTATGAAGAATTACATTAGTAGATTTGTCACCTATTAAACCTATTAGTAAAGTTATTATGTGTTTGAAAACATATAACGCGTAGCAAAAATTTTACTATGTAAGGGACATGTTTAGTTATTGCGTACTCTGGGTGTGTTTTAGTGCACCTGTAATTTCCTTTTCATATTATATGAAATGGTAAAATAATGGGCAAATATATGTATCAGAGACTTATGTGTCATTGTTAAAAAAACATCAAGTTAAAAAAGAAAGAGTAAATTTCATAAAACTGCACATTCTGGGGTTCAAGTTGCAGAAAAACATACACATTTTGACACTTGACACTTAAGTACATATATTCTGGTATTAAAGTTTCACAAAACTACACAATCAACGAATGGGTCCACTTACGAGATGACATGGTTCTTTATCTACATATATTTAGGATGTTGGCGTGGCATCGTGAGTGTTCCACTAGGATAAAGCTCCCAAGTCCGCATCCTAGGTGGAACAGACACGTCATCTTGCAGGTGGACCCGTTCATTGATGGTGTAGTTTTGTGAAACTTCAATATAAAATATATGTAGTTAAGTACCCAGTGTTAAAGTTTGTGTGGTTTTCTGCAACTTGAACCATAAAAATATGTATTTCTATAAAATTTACTAAAAAGAAAGGTAGTATATCTGATTTGTATTAGAATTATTTATGATCAAAGTTCAATTGAAAAAAAAAAGAGATTTTTTACTGTCCAGCAGAATGTGGTACCAAAAATCATCCAACCGTTGAATCAGGGAAGGGAAGGATCGTGAGAGAAAATGGGTGTGCCTTCTCCCCCGCCGCCTCCTCCTTCGTCGTGCCTCAGCCACGGCCTACTCCGGCGCCACCACCGGAGCGGCTCCTCAGCCGCTGCAACCGCATACTCCGCCGCTGGCTCATTCGCCTCCGCCTCCGCTTTCACGGACAATACAGAGGCCAATCTCGCGGCGCCGAAGGAGGAACACGGCAGTGGCAGACACGGCGACGGCGGGGCGGAAGAGGAACATGGCGGCGCTGGAGCGGAAGAGAAACACGGCGACGACATGGAAGAGGAACACGGCGGCGGCGGATCGGGATTTCTAGGGTAATAGTCTGTTCTCATTGCACACAAAGTTACGTTTTTGCCCTTCCACCTCAGTTCCCCACTTGGTACTGCACCAGGGACAGAATTGGTACCGCCCAGTACAAACTCTACCAGCCGTTGGATCGGGTCAGATCCAACGGCCAGGATTTTGGTACCGGGCGGTACTGGTACCGACCGCTGTACCGCAACAACGCTCGAAAAAAAATGTTGTTTCAAGTTTAAAACATATTATACTTAATTTATTATAGATATTATAGATAACTGTAAATGCACAGATATCTGGTTAGTATTCATAGAATTAATCACAAAGATATGGAAGCAGAGAAGGGGGGGAGATGAATTTTCGCATTGCATTAACACCAAAGTGAGGGAAGCATTGACCTCTCCTGCTGAACTCCCCTATATAAAACCCTCTTGGGGCCCTTGAAAGCCACCAACCAAATAGAGCAGTGTCCATTTCTTTCTCTTCTCCTCTCCTCTCCTCTCTTCTCCACAACCTTCAGGTAGCAACTTTGTTATTTGATTCTTGATTGACTTGTTCTTCTAGTTCTTCATAAACTCTTCTTGTTCATGAGCAAAAAAACAAAAAGCAAAATCAATCTTGATATGCACTTCTTTTTCATGACCAAACAAAGATCGATCTTGATCGATGTGCGCTGTTCTTGTTCACGAGCAAAAAAACAATCGATCTCTTTTTTCTTTCGTTTTTGTATATCTACCAATGGTGTTCTATTTACATGTATGATCTTGATTTGTGAATCAGGGAAGCATGAGCCGGAGCAACGGGAACGGCGGCGGCGGCGGCGGGAGCACGAGGGGGGCGAGGTTGGAGCTGCAGCTGAACCTGTCGCCGCCGGCGGTGGGTATGGAGGTGGACGGCAACGACGACAGCGACTCGTCGTCGCCGACGTCGTGCGTGTCGTCGGATGGCCGCAGCTCCGCCGGCGGCAGCCCCGGGGACAAGTCGCCGATGGTGATCGGCGCCTGCACCCGTTGCCTCATGTACTGCATGGTCGCCAAGAAGGACTACCCGACCTGCATCAACTGCAAGCAACCCTCCCTCGTCGACCTCCTCCAGAACCAGGACGCCGCCGCCGCCGACGCCGACGCCGACAAGAAGCGCGGCGGAAAGCGCAAGTGAAGACGCCGCCGCCGACGAGGCCACCATTGCCGCCGGCCATGTCCGTCCAGTGGATGCTCACACGGATGGTTACCTCATCAGGATCCATGCATGCGTGGACGAGTGACAGCCGTTGGATCATCCACTGGACGGTGCCGGATTTCTTCATCATTATTATAGTAGTAGTAGCCTCTTTAAGTGTCTTTGGTTTCGTCATAAAAAACCAAAAAAATGGTTGTGTCACCTTATGTTTTATTGTTATGGGTTGGTGTGGGTGTGTTTTAGTAGGGGGGAATTAATTACGTGGTGGTGGCTTAATGGTTCTTGTAGCAGCAGTAAGTTGTAACTCCCCCTTTTTCATTGAAGAAATGCAAGATAAGACTTTAGATTAAGAAGGTGATCATTGTCCCTAATCAAACAGTGACCATTAATGATGATTCAGTCAAGAGAGAGTACTTGTGTATCTGTTTGTGACTGGTGGACTCTGTTCTTGTCCTGTTCTTGCACCAAGAACAGTAGGAATCTTGTGCAGGGTTTACGATCTCTAGATTCCCGATCTCCCGATTCCACGAAATCTGGACTTTTTGGATAGGGTCGAAAACATGAATCGTTTGTTTTTATTTTAAATTCAAAAGAAATCAAACTAAATAATAATATATTTATAAGTTTTATTTGAATTTCATCGGTTTAACAACGGCGTGAAAACCGAAGATATCTCTTATAACCAAAACTGGGACCTCGGATGATCAACCTTTCTCTTGAGAAACTTAATTTGCAACAGATGTTGTTATACTTAATTAATGGCTGAGAAGAAAGTGTGTGCATGTAATGTGTGTAATTTTCTAATTTTGTGAGAAGAAAATGAAGATGCCGCTGCCGCCGACGAGGAGGAGACCGCCATTGCCGCCAGCCATGTCCGTCCAGTGGATGCTCACACGGATGGTTACCTCAGGATCCATGCATGAGTGGACGAGTGACAGCCGTTGGATCATCCACTGGACGATGCCGGATTTCTTCATCATTATTATAGTAGTAGTAGAGCCTCTTTTAAGTGTCTTTGGTTTCATCATAAAAAACCAAAAAAATGGTTGTGTCACCTTATGTTGGGGTTTTTATTGTTATGGGTTGGTGTGTGAGTGTGTGTTTTAGTAGGGGGGGAATTAATTATGTGGTGGTGGATTAATGGTTCTTGTAGCAGCAGTAAGTTGTAACTCCCCCCCCCTCCCCCCTTTTCCATTAAAGAAGTGCAAGATAAGACTTTAGGTTAAGAAGTTGATCATTGTCCCTAATCAAACAGTGACCATTATACTTTTCCCTCTATTGCATATCAGCAATGATGATTCAGTCAAGAGAGAGTACTTGTGTATTTGTTTGTGAATGGTGGACTCTGTTCTTGTCCTGTTCTTGCACCAAGAACAGTAGAGTGTGTACATAAACTGTCTCCTTTTTATTTATATAACATTTTAACCATGGGGGACTCCCCCACTATCTTTTGATAAAAAAAAACAGTAGAGTGAATATTGTGCAGGGTTTACGATCTCCGTGGAATTCATGAAATCTGGACTTTTTGGACAGGGTCGAAAACACGAATCGTTCGTTTTTATTTAAAGTTCGAAAGAAATCAAACTAAATTATAATATTTTATAAGATTTATTTGGATTTTATCGGTTTAACAACGGCGTGACAACCGAGGATACCCCTTATATCCAAAACCGGGATTGTGAACCTTATCAAAATCTAGACTTTTTGGACAGGGTCGAAAACACGAATCGTTCGTTTTTATTTCAAGTTCAAAAGAAATCAAACTAAATTATAATATTTTTATAAGATTTATTCAGATTTTATCAGTTTAACAACGGCGTGAAAACCGAGGATACCCCTTATAACCAAAACCGGGATTGTTAAACCTGATTTTGCCCCTATGATGATCAACCCTTCTCTTGAGAAAATTAATTTGCAAGACAGTTGTTGTTAATACTTAATTAATGGCTGAGAAGAAAGTGTGTGCACGTAATGTGTGTAATTTTCTAATTTTGTGAGAAAAAAGTGTGTGCATGTAATGTGTGTAATTTGTGAGAAGAAAGTGTGTGCATGTAATGGCTGAGAAGAAAGTGATGGTCTGATCGAAATCTGACGGCTGAGAACGAGTGGACGTCACAGATATTGTTGGCAACAGCGGCAGGGGGGCATCTCTGGCAGGTGCAGTCATGGGTGACCACTGCAGAGGCCACAGACGACACACGCATTGGAGAGACATAAACAAGGGCATCATTACCCAATTATATGTTGATGCCAACTGCAGAAACAGTCAGGATCTGAGCTTAAGCATCAAGGCTACAAAGGCCAGAAGAAATCAGAAGCCTGTGCAGCTGTGGACCAGAAAATACAATCATTCGTCCCAAAATAAATTCATTTGTGGGTTTCTTTATGTGTAACATTTGACCGTCCGTCTTATTTAAATTTTTTTATGATTAGTATTTTGATTGTTATTAGATGTGAAAATATGAATAGTGCTTTATGCATGACTTGTTTTTATTAATTTTTTCATAAAATTTTCAAATAAGATGGACGGTCAAACGTTGAACACAAAAACCCACCAATGAACTTATTTTTGTGACGGAGGGTGTAGTGTGCAGTGGAACTTTATGCAAGGATCAAACCAGAGGACCTAGGATGGTTTTTATGTGTAGGGCCTTAAGAAGAACATAAATCAAATGACCCTATGTGTACAAGTTAATTTGCACAAAGGTTCCCGGCTTGCTAGAATATTAAAGGAAGATGATGCTTACCTTAGGTGACGTAGCCTACACTTCAATGAAGTGAGTTATTAGCCTCACGTAATTGAAGACCGCGGAAGAGTTGACCTCTCTAGGACATTGTTTGATTAAGGAGGCTGGTAATGGGGTTGGTGCGGCTAAGTGGTAACAAAAAATCTCATCAAGGCGTTTCTCTAATGCGCCCATATCCCAGCAAGAATTTCCAACAAGAGTGTCGCTCATTATAGGTGATTGAATCATTTACTAGGGAAAGATACATAGTGGTAAAACAATATGTGTATAGATAAGTTGGCATACCAATGGTTATATATGCACACTAAGTCGACAAACATATAGGTTCATTAAGGAATTGACTAACCGAGCATGGTATACCTCCACCTTGTATGGTGATGATGGTGGAGAATGCAGTGGCTCGAATGACTAACCTAACTAGCTATCTAAATGTCCAAGGCAAGATCCCCTCCTATGCACTAGTTTGTGAACAACCAAAAGGAAAACATGCTACTGTTTCGAGTGAAGGGCCTCCTTTGCCATCATAGCCTATGTTTGAGTGTAGTGAATTGTGGGTCACGGGTAATGGAATACTACAAGATGGAAGAGTTGAACTCCTTCAGGTATAGTATGAATATAAGAGTATGAGAATAGGGCTGGCATGGCTCAGTGATAATGAAAAATCTTATAAATGAATCTCTCTAATGCGTCCAAATGCGAGCATGAGCGCCATTTAATATAGGTATACCAGCGGTTATATATATGTACGCTAAGGCGACAAAGGTCAATTTGCACAAAGGTCCTTGGCTTGCTAGCAAATCAAAGAAATATGATGTAACCTATGCTTGAATGTATTCAGTTGTTAGTCGCGTGTAACTAAAGAGTGCAGGATGGAGGAGTTGACCATTCTTGGCCATAGGACGATTACAGAGGGTGGAAAAGGGGTTGGTATGGCTTAGTGGTAACGGAAAATCTCATCAATATGTCTCTCTAATGCATCCAAATTCCATCGAGAACTTCTAGTAAGGGCGTAATTCATTATAGGTGATTGAATCATTTACTGGGGAAACATATGCAGTGGTAAAAAGAATAAAGTTAAGTATTATTGATAGTACCGATAACATAAACAATACCATTAGTTTAAAAAAATAGGAAGTGTTAAAAGCTCTTTTTTTCATATTAGAGTGCAATCTATAGAGAAAAAAATATTGAAAGTGTTAATGGCATTTTTTTCACGTACCCTGTAGATTTTTTTTTTGGAAGTGTTGAAAGCATTTTCCCCCACATTTGAGGGCAATATACAGAGGAAAATATTAAAAGTGTTAAAGGCATTTTTTCACATTAGATGGCAATTTATAGAAAAACAATGAAAGTGTTAAAGACATATTTTTTTTCACATTAGAGGGCAATCTGTAGAAAAAAAACGAGGGGGGGGTGGGGTCGGGAGGAGTTGAACCCAAAACCAATGGAATGAAACAGGCAAGTATAGTAACCAACATATGAAAGGAAGTTAGTAACTTGTGCTACCTATATGAAGTTTTTCATCCAATATACTAGGGGGACCATCATCCATGTTAGTCTCCACTAAGCTCTGCCACTGATGGTGATGATGGTGGAGAATGCAATAACTCAAATGAATAACCTAACTACCTATATAAATGTACAACGCAAGATCCCTCACATTGACTGGCTTGTTGACAACTCAAAGACAAATATGCTACCATTTCAAATGAAGAGCCTTCCTTGCCATAATAACCTAGACTTGAATATAGTGAGTTGTGAGTCATGGGTAACGAAATATTCACAATGGAAGAGTTGACCTCCTTTGGCTATAGTATGACTAAGAGTCTAAAAGAAGGGTTGGCACAGTTCAGTGATAAGAGGAAAGCAGAACAATAAATCTGTTGAACACATCCAAATGCTAACAACTACATTTGGTAAAATTACCTTTCATTCGAGGTGATTGAATCATTTACTTGGGAAAGATTGAGACTTAACCGAGTGAAGATTATGTAGTGATAAAAACATTATCACTAGTAAGAATTTATGAGTTGGCACACCAACAACTATATATGATGTTACAAGCAAAACCACCACCTTGTGTAGGATGGTGGAGATTGCAATATAATGGTTTGAATGACTAAACCTACAAGGTGGGACCCCCTCCCAATGGCCTTCACCAAAACATCCGCCTATATTTGATCGATATGGAAATAGGTGATATAGAAAGAAAGATATAGTTGGTATATATAGTTGGAAAAATAGAGAGAAGTGGTGTTCTTTGTGTGGGACCGATCAGACCAGGTGCATAGGGCCGGTGATATCCAACCATTCACCCCTCTCTGGTTGGCTTAGTTCTTGTTGTTCAATCCTACATAGTTATATTTTTAATAATTTTCTTTCGATAAATATATGGTAGGATAAAGTAATGATCAAATATATTTATCTGAGATTGATTTGGGGCTCAACAATATGATAGGAAAATATCTTAAGTTCATCCTACAAGATTCGTGATTTACATTCAATGTGGAGAGTTTGTATGTAGAACATATGACGTCCTACAATATATGCATTCAAACATCAAAATCTTAAGTCAGCAATGCACAAAATTATTGTGTACAAAAAAT